GGGGGTCACCGGTGACCGGCACTTAACTTGACAGTGACGCCATGGGGGTCACCGGTGACCGGCACTTAACTTGACAGTGACGCCATGGGGGTCACCGGTGACCGGCACTTAACTTGACAGTGACGCCATGGGGGTCACCGGTGACCGGCACTTAACTTGACAGTGACGCCATGGGGGTCACCGGTGACCGGCACTTAACTTGACAGTGACGCCATGGGGGTCACCGGTGACCGGCACTTAACTTGACAGTGACGCCATGGGGGTCACCGGTGACCGGCACTTAACTTGACAGTGACGCCATGGGGGTCACCGGTGACCGGCACTTAACTTGACAGTGACGCCATGGGGGTCACCGGTGACCGGCACTTAACTTGACAGTGACGCCATGGGGGTCACCGGTGACCGGCACTTAACTTGACAGTGACGCCATGGGGGTCACCGGTGACCGGCACTTAACTTGACAGTGACGCCATGGGGGTCACCGGTGACCGGCACTTAACTTGACAGTGACGCCATGGGGGTCACCGGTGACCGGCACTTAACTTGACAGTGACGCCATGGGGGTCACCGGTGACCGGCACTTAACTTGACAGTGACGCCATGGGGGTCACCGGTGACCGGCACTTAACTTGACAGTGACGCCATGGGGGTCACCGGTGACCGGCACTTAACTTGACAGTGACGCCATGGGGGTCACCGGTGACCGGCACTTAACTTGACAGTGACGCCATGGGGGTCACCGGTGACCGGCACTTAACTTGACAGTGACGCCATGGGGGTCACCGGTGACCGGCACTTAACTTGACAGTGACGCCATGGGGGTCACCGGTGACCGGCACTTAACTTGACAGTGACGCCATGGGGGTCACAGGTGACCGGCACTTAACTTGACAGTGACGCCATGGGGGTCACCGGTGATCGGCGCGCCCAAATTGATAGAAATATATATAATTTCAAACAAATGTCAATATCTAAAATTTTGTATTATTACCATCGTCGATTCAAACAGTGACCCCTGTCGCAATTAACATGCCAAACATGGTTATACACTGTAACTTATCTATTGCAGATAATATTTCAACATTACATGTATCACAGAAAAGAAAATTCATCGTGGCGCCGCGGACAATTTCTGTAAAACCGGCGTGGCATTCAACGTGTCAACTAAGAATTAAGTACGAAAATTCTTGGATGACTTATCTTAATTTTAGAAATTCATATTACACCGACATCTCCTAAATTTTTTTTTAAATCTAAAATTTCCAAGCTATTATGCCGGCGTCAAACAAAAGAATCGTATCTAAGATCCGCGGACGGCATAGTGTTGGTATCATCTGTGTCGCGACCCGGTAATAAGAGCAGCGAAAGATGGTGCGATAATAATAATCGCAATATATTCAGTTCGTTTTCGATCTCGAGAGCACAAATAAAAATCGTCATTCTATCGAATCTTAATTAAATTTTAAACCCACCGATTTATCCTGCTTGCTTAATGCAAACGCATTTTTAGAAACCATGCGACGAAGTATTTTGTTCTGTTGTTTCTTCCTCGCGATCCAGGGGATTGTGCACAGAGCTCTGGATAATGTTTATACAGAAAACATTTGAAATACTGTTTGAAATGATAGATTCTTCACAATTCAAATAGAACAGTATTTTAAACAGGACACAAAATGTTTTCAGTGTTTTTCGAATAAAGTACTCTTTGAATCGTTATCTTAGAAAGTTTTTGGCAACGATGAAATATTCGACTTTTAAAATTACATTCTGTCGATTTACAAATAAAATCTTTTATTTCTAATAATATATATTCAAAAAGGCTATTTTATCAAGATCCGTTTGTGCATCGTGATTTTTAACTCCTGTTGCTGCAACGCAACGGAGCTAATTTAATTTTGCTATTTCAATTGTGAACCGCTTGTTAACCCCTTAATGCAAAATTTAAAAAAAAAAACCGACCAAAAAAAATCAATTTTTTTTATCTAAGAAAATACATATTTGGACCTTAATTTCAATAAATATGTAAAAAAAATGCAAAAATTACTAAAAATTCAATAAAAATAGTGGATAAATAATTATAGTGAATATTGAATCGCATTGCAGATCGAATTTTGTACCCATCGTACTGTTTTTCAATTAATATAGGTAACATAACATAAGTTGCGACGCCGACCGTATATATACAGGTCTGCACATTTTGGCCGGTTTTGCACGCCCGTGTTAATACGTTTCTGCGCGTTAAGGGGTTAATTTATACCATTTACTTTAACTTCCGCTTGATTTCTGTTATTAAATAGTGTCTTGTCTTTGATTGCTAATGACATACGGTATTGACATTCACACTCACCCTCTCCGGCTTGACTAGGTGTCTGCAGTCCTTGCATGAAGACCGTCAACAGTAGGTCCATGCAGGCTGCCTCTTATGCTCGAAAATCTGCAATCAGAAGCAAGGATTACGTTACTGGAATGTTACGTTCGTTAAACCACGCTAGATCGACGTATAAAGCAGCGTAAATACAATGTATAAGCTGGCCATAGTCAGACGATTTTTCGGCGTTGGAAAGTGAACTCATGAGTAAATTCATTTACGGATGCATTTATGGTGAGATCAAATCGTTCTTATGCTCATTGAGCCGTGCTCGCTTCTCATTGGTCAGTGTGTTTCGTTAATAGAAACGAATATATAATAAATCGAATAATATAAATTCACTGTTTTCGTAAACAGAATCGCGGATTGCATTTTCGCGAAGAAAAAAGTTACTTCAAATGACCTCAGGAATCACCGCTTTCCGGGAGTTAACATAATTATAGGACACCATTCTTTTTTGTTCTGTTCGTCGTTTTAACAATCTCGTACTATATTGTTCTCTAGTATTTTCTCCGTTTACAAATTATTTAAATATTTTGATCGCTTACTTTATATATTCTATTGCATTTTTTTTATTCTATCATTTCTTTTTCTTTATTTCTTTATTTCTTTTCATATTGTTATATTATACTAACACAGACACTTTCTTCCGTTCATCAAATAATTATTATTATTGCTGTTAGTATAATATAACAGTATGAAAAGAGATAAAAAAAGAAAAGAAATGATAGAATAAAAGGATACAACAGAAAATAAAGTAAATGATCAAGATATTTAAATAATTTGTAAACAGAGAAAATAATAGAGAATAATACAGAATTATTGTTATTATTATTTTCATGATTCATTTCATTTTCAATCATCTAAAAATATACTAAAATATACAGAAAAATTTAAATTTGGCAGATGGAATTATGTTATACGTTTGACGAAAATTTCTGTGAGAGCAAGCTTTCAGAAAAATATTTGACGTACATTTTACTTACATATTTTATATATATTTTATACCGAAATGACAAGATCGTATTCATTTAGACCTTTCGTCGTTTTCATTCCAATGCGTGCTCGGACCAACAAATTTGAAGGGATCTCTATAATTTCAGAAATTTTCGAACGTAATACGCGAAACTTGACGTTTAAACCGGCGCTTTGCGATAAACAATAAACGAAACGCAACAAACTGGAAAGCAAATAGACAGTTTACGCGCGTCTTAAGCGCGGAAAACCCGCGGTCCAATGATCGATCAAATTCTCCACCTTTCGCCAAGGGTGCCGTCGAATTGGAGATAGAACAAAAGGGCTATTCAGCCGCGATAATCGAATTAATCGCGGTAATATCTACGCTGGATTTGTTTAGATTTATAGATCGCTTAAAGAGTTAACGAACGTATCATCAAAACGGCCATCTAGATTTTGGCTCGGGATTTGCAAAACTCCGCCGACGAACGAAGCCGGCGGCGGAACGAACGGGCGAGATTTTCTTCCTCTCTATCTGCGCGGGGCGTCGTCGTGAATGCTCTTAATATTGCAGATGCGAGGAAAAATGCGACGAAGCCAGGCAGAGGAAGAGGGAATCAGAGGTCAAACTAGGGAAATGTTTAATCTCGAAGGGAAGAGGTCTTTGCGTGACGTTCTGCCCGATTCCGGCCCCGTCGACCCTCGCGTACGTACGTTACTCTTTATTAAACCGGCAAAGTTGCCGCGGCTGCGTGGTCCGACGTGGAACGAGCGGGACAACAAAAATCCTGGAACACCATTTTTTCCCGTGCCGAGGTCCGAGGCTTTCAACTCGCGAAAATCAATCCTGCTTTTTAGCGACTCGGCCGACTAACACACCTGCCGCGCGCACCTTTGATCTTTCGCAGATTTTCAGAGAATGATCTTCCGACCCCGCGTTGCAGCAATATTACGAGGGGACGTTTATATGGTAACAAATTTCCGAAAAAAAAGAAGTGTGTTCGCACGTCGCATTCAGTCGGCAACGAGAAAATAAATAGGTAATGAAACTGGCACGAATGTGTCGTTGCATTGTTCAATTCGCATCGTGTGAACAAGATTAATAACAAAGAGCATCGACGTGCTGGTTATCTTGTAAATAATTGTATTAAAAGGTACGCAGGTAGACTGTGGATCATTGTGCAAAATAAAAGTTGTCTGCATCGATTGCCAGACAGAATATTTTTTTTTGTTTTAATCGTTTTAATAAGTTCGAATCAATACATCAACATTCTTCGTTTCTTTAAATCTCTTCGCTGTTTTAAACTGCACCCACTCAGTTCTGCCATAAGTGCATCAAATCTGCAATCTGGTAAATTCGATGGTATAAATGAAATTGATAAATGTTCAGCACAGCAGGTTAAATACAGAGATTTTCTATTAAGAGCAACAGGTCGGCAATCATTATCGATAAAAACATTTTTCACAATTGTATGCATTTGGGGAATGTCGAGGGTTGCTAAATTAGGCTCTCTAGAATGGTTCAGGCGAAGACGCATCTCCGTTTTCCTCGGAGTACGGCACAGTTCCTCGGAGAACAAAGAACGTAAAATAATGTGCATCCGTATCCGACAGTTCGTAACTGCATCGAAAACTATGCACGACGCACTAGGCGGCCTGGCGAATTCGAAAGAACGTATTTACGAGAGACAAGAGCTTTTCCCGCGCGGCGACGCGCGTTCATTATTCTAACCCGTGCTAAAATTGTTACGGATTTCCGCATCCGATGATTTCAAACGAAGCAACGGCAAATGCAAAATAATCCTCGAAAACTCGCCGGACACTCGAGTTCTCGATGAATAGCACACTCGAATGCATCCCGAACTGGCAGAAATTCGATTATCGGAGCTGAACAGCCCTTTTGTTCTATCTCCAATTCGACGGCACCCTTGACGAAAGGTGGAGAATTTGATCGATCATTGGACCGCGGGTTTTCCGCGCTTAAGACGCGCGTAAACTGTCTATTTGCTTTCCAGTTTGTTGCGTTTCGTTTATTGTTTATCGCAAAGCGCCGGTTTAAACGTCAAGTTTCGCGTATTACGTTCGAAAATTTCTGAAATTATAGAGATCCCTTCAAATTTGTTGGCCCGAGCACGCATTGGAATGAAAACGACGAAAGGTCGAAATAAATACGATTTTGTCATTTCGGTATAAAATATATATAAAATATGTAAGTGAAATATACGTAAAATATTTTTTTGAAAGCTTGCTCTCACAGAAATTTTCGTCAAACGTATAACATAATTCCATCTGCCAAATTTAAATTTTTCTGTATATTTTAGTATATTTTTAGATGATTGAAAATGAAATGAATCATGAAAATAATAATAACAATAATTCTGTATTATTCTCTATTATTTTCTCTGTTTACAAATTATTTAAATATCTTGATCATTTACTTTATTTTCTGTTGTATCTTTTTATTCTATCATTTCTTTCCTTTTTTATCTCTTTTCATATTGTTATACTATACTAACAATAATCATTATTACTATTTGATCAACGGAAGAATGTGCCTGTGTTAGTATAATAAATGTGAAAGGAAATAAAGATAAAAGGAAAGAAATGATGGAATAAAAATATACAATAGAAGGTAAAGTAAGCGATCAAGACATTTCAATAACGTGTAAACGGAGAAAATACTAGAGAATAATACAGTATGAGTTCGTTAAAACAACAAACAAAATAGAAAAGAATAAATAAGACTAGAATACATAGAAAGAGTATGAGTAAAAAGCACACGAGAAATTGAGGATGAGAAAGTGTTACTCAACGCATTTGTTTAGACTTCGAAAATATTCAGACTTCAAGACAACAGCGGCAGGCTGTCCAATTAATTCCTTGCATATTAATTATATCGCGTTACGCCCGCAAAAGAATAAATAAATAAATAAATAAATAAATAAATTTGTGTAAGTAATACTAGAGAAGATAGAGAGTCGAAAAATAAGAACCGCCCAATTGTACAATCGTGCCGCAGGAGACCGGTCGCATGCATGCGAAATTTTTCTCGTTGCAACCGCGATGCACTTGAACCGGAGCCGCGCCGCGCCGTGGAAATTCGCCGTCGATCGATCGGAATTCGCCAGGGCTAACGAGAGGCTAACGTCACGAGCAAATTGAACAATGCCGGTGCTATTTATCCGCTATCAGTAATTCCGAGTTTCGCCGGATCGGTTCGACCGAAATCCCATGTTTAACCGGTCCCCGAGCGAACGCGGCGACCTTTAACAGGAAAGTTCGGCCGCAACCCTTCTCTTTTTTTTTCCTCTTCGTCCTTGTTGCCGCGCCGGTTCCCGTTAGTGCCGCGAGTTTAACAGATTCCCGTCCTCCGGTTAATTCGCGACGCCGTTAATTGCTTCCTTGAACCGACGTTAACGAGCTAAGTGGATTTAATCGCGCGTACCGCGTTCGCGAAAGTGCCACGAGTGTGAGCCTGAAACACGATTACTCAGCACGACAACGAATGCATCGGTGGTTCCCGAACACGTTGACACTTACGGGCATCACACGATTCTTCGTCTTTAACGGGCTTTCAACGTCGGTCGGGCGACCCGAAATCAAATCGAATTGAAGGTAAAACAAGTCAAACTGAAGTTAAAGCAAATCAGATTGAAGCAAAAATAAATATAATTTGGGATCAAACGAATCGTATTGCAGAGGAAACAAATTTAATTATAGACAAAGCAAATCAAATTGAAGTAAAAACAAATTTAATCGAAGACGAAACAAAACTAATTGATGGGAAAACAAATCAAATTCGAGTAAAAACGAATCTAACTGAAGACAAAATAAATCGAATTGAAGTGAAAACAAATCGAATACAGGACAAAACAAATCCTATTGAAGACAAAACAAATCTAATTATAGTCGAGGCAAATAAAATTGAAGTAAAAACAAATTTAATCGAAGACGAAACAAAACTAATTGATGTGAAAACAAATCAAATTCGAGTAAAAACGAATCTAACTGAAGACAAAATAAATGGAATTGAAGTGAAAACAAATCGAATTCAGGACAAAACAAATCCTATTGAAGACAAAACAAATCTAATTATAGTCGAGGCAAAT